GAATAAAACAGAGAATCTAGAAATAGAACCACACATATATGGTCCACTGAGTTTTGAAAGATTATTTTTCTTCTTTTTAAAAAAATAATTGGTTGTTCTTAATAATAATGTCCATTTTTTTAACAAGTTATGATTGAAAGAAATACAAGAATAGTTCTTAGCAAGCCTCCTAAGCATCTGGCTAATATGATTACACATAGGCTGTAACATTATTCTTGGAAGAACACTGCAACTTAGAAGAAATACACCATCTACTAAGGTACACCTGGGTACTACTGAAGTAACAAGGCACATAATGTGAAAGGCAATGTTTCAGGATTCAAATCATGTTCAAATTAGTATTTTTTAATAGAGCTATTTACTTCTATAATTTTCTGTTTGCAATTTTTGGATCACAGTTGAGCATGAGTAACTGAAAGTATGGAAAGTGAAACCACACGTAAGAGAAGAGTACGGTACTATATTTTTTCTTACTGAAAATAATCTAGGTAGATGTAACTTCAGTGCTTATGTATTCATACCACATTTATAGCTTTTAACTTTTAAAAATGATTTGACTACTTTATCTTAACCCTCTTCTCCTTGCCAATAAAATAGTTTCCACTAATTATTGGTCAGCTAAAGAGTCAAATATGTGTCTCTATTAAAGGCAAAGACCAAAATCAGCTAAGATGCTCAACAAAAATGACAACCAATAATATATATATATATTTTGGGATAGCATCTATTACCAAAGTTGCTCATTTAACTCTTGTGATGTACTGTGGTTTATCTGTCCTGGGTTAATAGATGAAAACAATTTGGTTTCTATAAGCATACTGTATCTCACAGATTGTGTAAGTCGCACTAAAATAAACTGATTTCATGGAAGAAATATCACTGATTATGATAGGGAATCGTATTTAACAAATAACTGCTTTGGGGAGAGAAACATACCTCAACCTGCAATAAATTTGTTTGCAAACTGATCTTCTTGCTGAGGATAATTACAAGAGTTCCTTCTTTCAAATATGGGATCTTTATTTTTTGCTATCAAATATTATGCATATTTTTCTGTTTCTATCATAGAGTCTGTGGCCTTCCTTTTAATTCTTTGTTGGATTCAGAAGAGATATATTAACACAGAATTTATAGTTTGGGTTTGTTTTACTTTTGTTTTGTGGGACTAGGTCTCACTACATATTCCAGGCTGATCTTGAACTCACTATGTGGTCCAGGCTGGCCTTGAACTCACAGCAATCCTCCTGCCTCAGCCTCCCAAGTGCTGGGATTAAAGGTATGTGCTACCATGCCTGGCAACATAGCATTTATATAACAAAGCCTTCACTTCTGTTTAGGATGTTAACTTGTACCCTAACTGTCCACCACCAATTGATGCTAATATTTACTGTTATTTCCAAGAGTAACAGTTTAAAATAAGAGCCTACATTTTGAAAATAATGTTAGCTATTAAAGGGCATTTATATAATTTCAAATGTATTTATATAGTTTCAAATATATATAGATTCAAAATCAGTTTCTCATTTAGGCTACAAAAGAAACTTGGCCATAGCAAGGTATGGTGGCAATGCCTGTAATCCTAGCACTCTGGGAGACTGATGTAAGAAGATAGAAACTTTGAGCCCAGAGTTGGACACTTAGTGAGAATCTGTCTCAGAATAAAAATTTTAAAAAGGGATGGGAATGTGGATCATCATGAAGGCCCTGGGTTCAAGCCCTAGTACCACCAAAAAAAAAAAGGAAGGAAGAAACTTGTTCATAAACCACATTTTCATTTATAAAGTAAATATTTTAGGTATTAATTTTGTTAGATGAAATTATAATATTATGTTATATAAAAATCAGGCTATTTAAGTACCAATTTACTTATTTTCCATATAATTTTGGTAGTCTATTCCTAAACTTCTTCCATGTATTCCTAAGTTGAAGATAATTCACTTTGGTCTCCATAATACATTAGGCCAGTAACCAATTTTTATCCATGTTACAGGTATAAAATACCTGTCAAGGGCCGGGGATTTAGCTCAGTGGTTCCGCTGCCTGCCTCGCAAGCACAAGGACCTGAGTTCAATCCCCAGTACCAAAAAAAAAAAAAAATAATAATCTGTCAATACCTGTTAAAGGACTATAAAATAAAATCAATGTGGTCAATAGTTATACAAAATTCCAACAAGTTCAATGCTATAAAATGTATTACTCACCAGAAAGAGAGTTCGGAAGTTGCTGAGATCACCAAAAAATTCTTCTATGCTTACTGTCTTAGAGTCAAAAATGAAGTATTCTCCAAGATTCTCATAGAGCTTGATCATGTTGTTGTGCATGGTGGACAGTTTTTCATATTGGTCTCTGGCACTCTTTGTAAAGCTGTAACTTCGTGTTAAGGAGCACGAACCAATAGAACTTCAGAGGCAATCAGATGTTAAGATTGAATAAGATCATCACTTCTATAAATAAATTTGTGACCCACAAATACTTGTACAGTATATCAGTTTTATAGGGCTGCCAGTATAAAATACCAGACTGGGTGGCTCAAACAACATAAATTTATTTTCTCCCAGATATGAAGGTTAGAAGTCTGAGATCAAATTTTTGGAATGTTTGGTGTCTTATGAAGCCTTTCTCCTTGGCTTGTAGATGGCTGCCCTCTTGCTGTGTCCCCAAAAGGTAATCACTCCGTGTTGTTCATGTCCTAATCTCTTTTTTTTTTTTGGTACCGGGGATCGAACTCGGGTCTTTGCGCTTGCGCAGCAGGCGGCGAAACCACTGAGCTAAATCCCCGGCATTCTCCTCTTTTTATAAGGACACCAGTCACACTACACTAGGGCGCATCCTAATAACCTTGTTTTATTTTAATTATCTCTTCAAATCTCCTAACATACTTTCTAAGGCACTGGATGGTTAGGACTTCAACATATGAACTTGAAGGGATGGGCACAAAATTCAGCTCACAACTTCCTAGAGTCATGTTGGTGAGTTTGAAGATCTTTAAATTAGGCAGAGCTACTTAATGTATAAGCACATGGGATGTATTTGTTACAACATGTTTGCTAAATTAAAGCATATAGATATATATACCAAAACTACTTCATGTTTTTTGAATAATGTAAGGTAGAAACAAATAGCAAAAAAAAAAGAGAAAAACTATGTACATAGTTTTTCTCTTGTTCATACATATTCTCTACAGAGATAAAAAGGTTATAGTGAATTATATGTATGGGTTATATTTATACACTTGTAGATCTCTCTGCTGTCTCTCTATATGTATATATATGTATATGTATATATAGATGCATATGTATATATAGATGCATATGTATGTGTATACATACATGTACATGTATATGAGTACATATATATACATACATATATGCATATACACCTTATGCATATATATATAAAGAGAGAGAGAGAGAAAGATTCTCCCAAATGAAGAGAGAAAAAGAGGGAGAGAGCAAGAAGAAGGACAAAAGAGTGACAGAGTTCAGGATATGCTATCCCAAAATATGATATTTTGGCATATGGTACTGAGTTTCCCTTCACCCTTGAAGCAGCTAGAGAAGAATATTCTGATGTGCCTCTAAAGCGAGTAATAATACTCTCAATGTAGCACTACCCACCATATATAACCAGGAGGGCAGGGTTGTCCTTATTTCTTGAGGTACACAGACACAGAGCAGAGCCTGAACAAATACACCTTACTAAATTTCCCCTACTTCATACCTTCTTTGTTCAATCATACTCCCTCATGATTGCTGCTTTTACTTGGGGCTTCAGTTTTCCATGTCACATAAAATTTATATTACATAAATTTGTAATGTTTTTTCTCTTGTTAATCTATCTTTTGTTATAGAAGTCTCAGCCATGAACCCAGGAACAGTAAGGGAAAATAAAAAAGCCCTCCAACTCAGAAGCAAGTGTTGTGAATATTTTGGAGCATTTCCTTCTTGTTCTTCTGTGGCTAATAACTGTTGATTGCTAATTGATAAGAATATTTCAGAGAAAGATAAATAGCCTAACTATGAATAGGGAAGAAAACCAAGTCAATATTTTAAAATTTGAGTCCAATGCATTAAAAATTACTAATAATCAGAGTAAAATTTATGTTTAGATGGAAAAGTAATAGACTTGGAATTGTGAAAGGAGGCTAATGGTATTACAGGCAGCTAAATTACATAGAAATTAATGTACAGTCAGAAAGGGACTGGGCTGTCAAGGAAGTTAGTAGAAAAAATAAAGACATCAGAATTGTGGCTAGAGTGGCATCTGAAGGAAACCAGGCCTCAAGATAAAGATGCAATGGCCAGGCCTACATGTCTTCTTAAGGGATAAGCAGTAACTTGGAATTATACTGCAAGTAGCCCCACATGGTCCAGGAAGTCTAGCTAGACATCAGTCGCCTAGGTGAGAGACCAGAGCATCAGACCCATCCCTTCCCCAAAATGTCTTTGTTCTATGTACACTTACTACATGATCCGCTTCCCTATTGGACCAATATTAACTAAGCTGCTATACTTGTAATCTTATAGGCTGATTATAGTTTGATCCACATTGTACCTACATTGTGACATAGCTGTATAAATTACACCTGACACAGGGCCTCGGTGGCAACTCATTTCCAGATCCCCTGTTTGTCTCTCAGGAGCCATTTCTATTCCCCAATAAACCTTTTCTGCTCTTAAACTCCTTTGTCCTTTGTAGTTCATTCTTTGATTTCAGGGGACATGCACTCAGTGTATTTGAAATCTAGCAGGAGTTGTATTTTATTCCCCTATATTAATGACACGATATGTTCTACACTGGTCTGAAATCCACTACAGTATATTAATGTTCTGTGGTAGAATTTTCTACAATCAGAAACTGGTAATTGTGCCTTGAAACAGTTGATTTCATAGGGTTTTCTGAATTCTTCAATGTGTTTTATTATAACTGGGGGCCAAATTTATTTTCTATGCGAATACAGCTCTAGTTTTACAATGGTGAGTGGATGGGGAACTTAGAGCATTTCTGGAAAATTACTGTGAAGCTGACATTTATGAAATATACCATGGTTTTAAAAATGAGATGCCACCACCTATGTTCTTATTTTTATGCTACTTAACTGTTAGCATTCATATTAGCAGCACAACAAGCTCTTCTCTGTTAACAAGTGACATTAAAATCTTTCAATCTTCAACCTCATGTTGATGTTAGTAGACCCGAAAGAATTAATGAAATTTGGATAGCCTATACTTTTTATTCACAAAAGCGTACATAATGATTCCTATACATTCTGATTTTATCTTTGAGACTATCATCATATATTTTTGATTCTTAAGAAAATGTTAAATGTTAAACATCCTGGTTAAGTATTGCAGAAATGAGGGAATACTCTTCATTTCTAAGCAAAGAATGAAAGGGTTATTTTTGTTTTGTAGCCTTCCTTCCATGGGGGTGAGGCAGACTCTGGGTAAGGACTTGCTAGGAAGAAATACTTTGTAAAGGTCACTTGCTTATAATCTATTTGCAATGCAAATTATTAAACTGTATATTTCAAAAAGTTCTGTAAAACACAAAGAAAAAGCCAAACAAAAAAGGCAAAAATTTTTGTGTCCCATTTATCCCAATACAATTTTTCCTCAGATAAACATGTTCATGTAGTAATACACATTTCATAAATTTGTTTTTATAGAACAAAACTGATTTCTGAAATTGTGTCTGTATACCAAAGTGAGAAAATTTAAAATTCTGGGAATGCTTCATCTCTGAAATAACAAATGGAAAGTAGTCCAGAGTCCTTCACTTATCTTTAAAGTGGTTACTTTGTAAAAGGGATAGATAGCATGAGTCTGCACTGAAATGTTCAGCATCACAACCAAGTCGCCAAAGTTTACATGGACTGCAAGTAAAATAGTATTGGAAAATATCACTCCTTTCTGGACCTTTACTTCATTAAGGAGATTTTTATTTTGCTTTTTGAAGAGCCATTAAATGGAAGATATTGGTTATCACTATGCTAAACTCTGACTGATACAAACATCAGTAAAGCCTTAATCTCCACCCTAAAGAAATTTATAATCTGATGTTACAAATAATTTTACCATTATCAATTTGCATTTGTATAGGACTTTATAATTTACAACATGCTTGTCCTTTCATTTCATTCCATATTTTTGAAACAACCTTTTCATAAAGGCAGATAAATAATACTATGTACATTTTATTGTTGTGGAAACTAGATAAAAGGCACTTATCCATCTAGGATTAGAATATAAATATTGTGATAGTTCCTGGCATGATACCCTGCTCTTTTCATATAGTAGAAATATATTGTTTACAATGACAATGACCTTCATATCAATTTCATTTTAATGTTATATATGTAATAGTGAATATATTTATCAGTAGAATGATGGTCAGTTTAAGTTAAATTTGCATCTTTAGATCTAAATGTTGCCCTAGTAGATATGTTAGAAGTTAATTTTATAAGTCAAACTTGACTAGGTTACAGGATACTGAGATAGTCGTTAAAATATTATTTGAGGTGTGTCTCAGAGGGTTTTTTGAAAGAGACCTGCATTTGAATGAGTAGGAATGTGTAAAGAAGATCAGGTTCAGCATTGTAGGTGGGCATCATCCAATCTGTTGAGAGCTCAGATAGAAAAAAAAAAAGGTGGAAGAAGGGCAAATTTTTTTCTCTTTATCTGGGATATTCATCTTCTTCCACTTTTGGATATTGGCACTTTTTGGTTTTGAGGCCTTTAAATTTGAAAACTGCAGTTTCAAGACCCAAGCCCGGTTTTAAAAAAATTTCTTTCTCTACTCCCAGAACATAATAAGCTTGGGGCAATTTCTTTTCAGTCTGAAAATGGGTTTGGTCATTCATTACCTTCTTACTTGGAAAAGGTCTTCTTTTACAAACTATGAATAGACCACCTTTTCACCTAGAAAATAGGCTTTCCCCTATGAATAGATCATTATCTTTCTGTGGGTGGACCATCCTCCCACCTAATAAACCAAGAGGAGACTATAGATCATCAGATTTCACAAATTTCTACCAACAAAAAAGACAAATATATTCCCAGTTCCAAACCATAGTGCATCTCTCTCTACAGGATCCCCAGTCCATTATTTTGAGTCCATACTTCTTAAATATCTGCCTAAAAACCCTTCCCACACTTCTTACTGAGAAGTCCTCAAAATTCTTTTTCTACAAGGAGTCACTGCACATACAAATGTATTCTATGAATAGAGTGGGTTAGGTTCCTTATTTCAGCTCCAGAAAACTGTCGACATTGTCCAGTGACAGTGGGACTTCTCAGCTTTCATAATCATGAGCCAATTCCCAAAATACCTCCCCCCCATATATATATATATATGTATATATATA